TCTGTATTAGTATGAGGAACAGAAGAGAGCAATTTCTCTATTTTATCCAGTTTATCCCAGTATAAGCTCATGTTTTGAATTTCAATTGTTCCTAGCTCATACTTGGGAAATCCTTTTTATACCACTTAACACACTTGAGGAGCTGGAAGAAATTACACAATTTATCAGCTGTTCATCTAAAATCCTTAAAATGACCACCAGAGGTTATATGGATATGCTGGACAAATTGCCTGAATATACTGAATATACAAGTGCTATATTTAGATGTGTTAACATACTGGATATGAAGCAAATGAAACTTATAAAAATTGTGAACATTTTTCTCTTGATAAATCCACTATTTTGGAGAAAAATCATGTCGCCTTTAAAAGTGATTATTCCTTATCACTTTTTCCTCCTGTTATATAATCAGCACAGGTATTAAGAAAGTTATATTCTCCACCCTCCCAACAAGATAGTGAGAACTATTTCAGGGTTTATAAAGTTTACAGATGTGTGTGCACTTTATACTTAAGTGGAATAGAAAAAAATTACTCTGGTATTTCCGTTATTTGAACTAGTCTCTGGTCTTAGTAATAGACTAGATGAGAGCCAACAAGCTGACTGAAAAGACTGAGGGTCTGCTAGTGAATGGTTCTTCTGTCTACATGCAAGAAGTACCACCAGCTTTAGCTGGAGTCCTACTACCTCTGAAAGAGCAGGTGCACAGTTTGGGGCTGCTCCTGGTTCCATTCTGGTCCCTGGGGAATCAGGTGGCCTCCATGGAATGCCTTCTACCAACTTCAGCTGGTAGCTCAGCTACAACCATATCTGCAGAAGTATAACCTGCAATCAATGGTCCACATTAATGTAACCTTTAGTTTAGATTACTCCAATGTATTGTGCATTTGGAAACAGCAGTTAGTGCAGAATTTCGCGGACAGGTTCCTGACTAGCACTGAGCAATGTGAGGCTTTGGGAGGCTTTGGCCTCTCCCACACTGGAGGCATTCAAGAGGCAGCAGGACACCCCTCTGTCAGGGATGCTTTAACTTAGAGTCCTGCATTGAGTAGGGAGTTGGGACTGATGGCCTTATAGGCCCCTTCCAGCTCTACTATTCTATGATTTTATGATTCCTGACTATTTCTCCAACTAGTCCAGTACCATCAAAGGCCTTTCATGTCAACTGCTCCCTGATCCTTTGAACACTGAATGTGTCTTTCTGCATGCAAGGATTAAGTGCTACCACTAAGCTAAGGTCCCTTTCCAAGATAGGCCATTTGAATTTAGGATCCCACTTCCATTGCAAACAAAATGATTTCCCTAAATTCAGTGCTCAATGTTCCTTTCCTGCCCACTCCAGTGTTCTCATTAGAAGTACAGTAAATTAGGTCAAAATGCACAATCGAGCAATGTATTTATTAAGAATTTCACAAAGTCATGTAAGCTTTTGGGTTCCCCAAAGCTCCTCACTAGATGAATAGAAGGGGAGTGATATATTTTCCATCAAGGTGAAATAGAGCTCTCAGGACAAGTAAGTACACACACTACAGGCCAAAACCAAGCCCAAAGAACAAAGCTGCCACCAAAGTGGTGAAAGCACTGACTTATATTACATATTAAGACATTTTTGGTAACTCTAAGTAGGTTAATATTTGCAAGAGAGTTCCACAAAGGTGGAACTTATTCACAGGCAGTTTGCCCATAACCCTCTGATATAAGAGGACTTCAGGCATCCAATGGAAGGAGGAAGGAACAGAAAGACAAAGCTTGCTTCTGTGCTTCTCCAAGCCCTGCAAAAGACTTAAATGGGCAATGTCACTCTTTTGTCCCAGAGTAAAAGCAGTGGAGGCTGGGACCCCACCAGGATATCATGTATGCCAGTGGCACCTATCTCCTTCCCTCCCCACATGGAATGCCCACAAAATGTTGCCTCTGGGATCACTCTTATGACCTTGGGATTGCAATGCCATGCTTCTTTCTGCATGGGGAAGGTTTTAGTATAGAAAAGTACAGGAAACAAGAGAGAAAGAAAGAATGAATGAACGAACGGACAAGCAAATGAAAGAAGGTTCTTTGGCCTCTGAGCAAGGCTAGAGCTGGAAGTCCAAGTCTCCTGTTACTGCAATCCATCACAGCCTTTACAAAAATAAAGGACATTATTTCTAATGCTCCAGTCTTACAGTTTACAATGCCAACAAGTTCAAAACGGTTAGTGCCAAAGCTTGGCAACTGCAGACTAGGTGGCATGGTATTAACTACTTCATAATGCTTTGGAATATATGTCAGTTGTGCTCTGGCCCAGATCACTTAACAAAGCAGACAAACTCTATGCACAAATGAAAAGCAAAAGAGTGTTTTCTCATGGTTAAACAAGCAAAACATTTTACACTATCTATGTGGGCTGCCTTCTTTCAGATTCCTTGCAGATCGTAAAACTTTGGACCAACTACCCTTACAATGCCTATGCAAGGATGATGACATTTTGCCCTGTAGCCAAGTGTTCTGGGCAAAAAGAGTAATAGCAGCTACCTTGTCCTACAATGCAAGTAGGCTTTTAAAAGTTACAGGAGGAACTTTTACATTTATTCTGTACTTGTCTCCCTATCTGCATCCAAAAATAAGTTTGTCAGATCCAAACAGAAGGTCCAGGACTTCAAGAACTATTACACTATATTGTATCAGGTTAGTTAAATACATTTATCAGTCCTTCAGAGAATACTAGGAGGTGGTTTACTGCCCATGGACAGCTTAGTGAATTGGAAAACCTAGTAAGACAAGGAAACAATGTTGTTGGGACTATGTACTATGAGAAATAAATCCTAGACCATATCTACCAAGGAAATCAAGGTCTAATGCAGTGTGTCCAACTTTTTGCTTCTCTGGACAACATTGGAAGAATTGTCTCGAGCCACACATTAAATATACAAACACTAAGGAAAACTGATGAGCAAAAAAAAAATGGTCTGTGCATAATATCCGTGATATCCACCACCACAGAAAAGCAAGAGTCTTCATATAATAATCCTACTTATGCAGCACCCCATTTGGAGAGTCTTTTCAAATCATTGAGCATGTCCCAAGTTTTCAATCACTAATATAGAAAATGAACACATCTAAGTAATAAAACTTCATTTTTTATATTTTTATTATAAAGAATATATATTATATTCTTTTACTTTTATAAAAGTAAAAGAGGGCAACATAAGACTAGTGGGATATTTGACACTGTATTTGAGAAACTAATGCATCAGCATCTGGTTTGATGGAAGTAGTTGCAATTCTCTGTGAGTTCTCAAGGTGCTCATCAGATATTTTGATTCTAATTTTACTCGTAGCATGCTTCATTCTTGAAAATAGTTGCTCACAAATGGAAGCCACACACCACCATAAACCTGAAGTCATGCATGCATGCAAATAACGAGAGCATAGGAATGTTTATTTTACATAACACTGCGACACGACATTGTTGCTTACAAAGTTCATGCTCGAGAACCACACAATTGAGTTACAAAAAAAGCTCATAATGTTTTAAGTAAGTTTACAATTCTGTGTTGGGCTACATTCAAAGCCATCCTGGGCCGCATGGAGCCCGCAGGCCATGAGCTGGACACCTCTGGTCTAATGTTTCTCTTGAAATGTTTTTGACTGCAGCCCTGAGCTGGCTAGAGTTGATGAGAGCTGAAGTCCAAACCATCTGGAGGGCACCAAAATGAGGAAGTCTGATCTAACCAAATGGCACAACCAAGGCAAGTATAATATCATGATAACCTAGGACTGGGATTGACATAAAAAATCTTTTCCTCCAATTACTATAGAAGGAATAGATAATCACAATATATGGAACTTTTGATCATGGCACCCCTACCTGAAAGAACTCGAGAAAGGCCTGCAGCTGAATATGAAAATAATCAAATCCAAAAGTAGTGTCTAAAAACCCAAGTTCAACTATTGAGACTGCCAGAGCCATCTTGCAAAACGGTCAGCAGTATTATTACTCCAGTTGCTACTCACTCCACTCAACTAATTTACAAGATGTCAAGATTTAGAGATGAGTGATTGAATACCTACACTGTCAGATATGCCAATTTATTTGCGTGGATAGTGTCATTATACACTTTAGACACTAGGTGGCACTAGGTGGCTTAGATGCATCAGAATCCAGTCAAGGGTTTCCTGTTAAGATGTATAAATAAGACATATATGTATAAAGATTATACATGGCTATTAGGATCCAATGTTCTGTGCAGGACTCCAAGTTTTCTTCAAGCCAGACAAAGTTCTTCCTGAGTGCTGTGCGCCAATGCCAGGTAATTAGGAATTGCTAGTAAATTTCCGGATGACTTGAAATACTTGAACAAGAATTCCTAGCCCCCACCCTGCTAGTTGAAAACTGCTTTGTCTGGTGGATCCGGTTTAAAAAAAAAGAAAAGTGGAGCCGACAAGCCTGAGTCTAGCCTACCCACCCAGTGCCATTACTGGCGTTGGAGATAAGGGAAGGAGGGAGGGAGGTTAATACTTTGATCTCCATAAATTAGTGGTCCCGATCCAGATTACACCCCTCCCGCCAACCCCCGTACTTCAAGACCGCGGGAAAGGAGCTGAACTACGCAAAGGCGAATTCCTCCCCGGGACTCCCACCACCAACTTTACATGAACCGAAACAAGACAGGGGAGAACACATGGGCAAATAGACAGCTGGAGCTAATATGCGTTTTGTTTTTCTTTTAACAAACAAGCGGATTCACAGGCACAGGCCTCTCTCTCTCTCTCTCTCTCTCTCTCTCTCTCTCTCTCTCTCTCTCTCGCACGCACATGTGGCGACAGCATCCCTCTCCGGTTGATCTGCACGCGCCCCGCGCCCCTCCCTCCCCGTCGTTCCTACGCGGTCGTTACCCGCCGCCCGCCTCCTCCTCCCCCTCCTCCCCGCTCCTCCCAGGCCCCGTGACGGCTCCCAGACACGCCCTGCCAGGCGGTCGCCGCAGCACTAGCGGCGGCGGCGGCGGCGGCACCGAGGCAGCAGCGCCTGGCGCTGGTCAGCCGTCCTCGCCTGCCTGGCTACCCGCGCTTTCCCAGCCGGCGTGGGATTGCTGGACGAGAGCGCCCAGGAGAGCCTTCTTGCGAGGCAGGGAAGAGGCGCGGCGATGGGCTCGACCGAGGAGCTGCTCGTGCTGCCGCCGCCGCCGAAGTGCGTCTTCGAGAGGGAGTGGGCGCCATCGTTGCCGTCCCTAGGTGGGAGGGCAGGAGCCCCGCACAGGCGGCCGCAGAAGCCTCCGCCGCTTCTTGACGAGGAGGAGGAAGAGGAGAGACAGCAGGTGAGCGGCCGCCTTGCTTTCTTTGCTCCGGCTAGAGGCGCAGCTTCTCCTGCAAAAGGGGGCTGTGTGGCAGCCGCACATGCCTTGCTTACGGAAGCCTCCGCCAGGTTCAAAGGGAACGCGCCACCGAGCCCCACGGCCCTGGGCAGCGGCGCGGGGTCGCTGCCTCTACGCCCTGCCTTTGTGGGCTTTCTGCACGCGCTGCTGGTGCTGCCCTTTCCGAAGCCGTCTCCCCAAACTGGGAACCCCCAGATGTGTTCGGACTGAAACTCCATCATTCCCGGCCAGACGGCAGAGGGACCTTTGGACTCGAGCCGGGCATTGCTTTGTGATCCGATGCCGCTCCAGTGAGCGTGGGATGCGTGAATCTGCCACGCACCCAACCGCACACTGACAAGCGGAACAATACACACCCCAGTGCGTGCACGAGGGGCAGCGCCCCTACCCTCTCCTAGCATAACCGAGACGGGTTTTTTTGGTTGCGCAGGTTGCTTTTTGCACTGGGGATGAGGTCCTTCAAAGGAAACCATAGCTATCATTCTTGAAGAAAGGTAGCCATTATGTTAAAACAAGAGGGCATCTTTCATCAGAGCTGCCTTTCCCCAGATAAGTTTGCGGATTTTAGTGAAGATTCACAGAAAAAGATGTGGAACTTTATGGAAGGGGTGTGGGAACTGCCCTTTGCTAAGTTTTCCTGGTAATCTGTATCTTTAGGAAAACTTAGCAAAGGGAGATGGTGTCAGGAGAAGAAAACAGATACACCCACAACCATTTCTTGTTTGCTGTGCAAACTTTTTGCATAGATGAATGCAGTTGCTTTCTGGAAAAAGGAGACTGAAAGAACTGACCCTCCAGATTATACATCAGCTAAATACCAGTAAAATCTTTGATAGTGCATTTATAAGTACAAGCTGACATGCCCCATCCCTCAGGTGCATGTCAGATGGTGTATATAAGGTGCTAATGCAAATGTTGAAAACTGCTTGGAGGCCTTCACTGACCCCAAGTGTTGGCATTACTTGGAACATTTTAATGAATGTAAAAGAACACTAATGTGAGTACAGCTGGTTGGAATGATGGTTCTTGCAACACCACTTTAGGGCAAAAGCTTGCAAGTTGCTCACACTAACCACTCTTTTATAAAAAATATGTATCTTTGTGGTTAGAAAGCATTAAATGGTTAATCATTTCCCATCCATACTTCCAATTCATATGCTGAGTTATGACTGTGTAACTGATGGTTTGCAAGTACTGGATAGTAATTTAATCTCAAGTGGTTTATCAGAAGTAATAGGGTGTGGTTCTGCTTGTGCTTCTTTAATTTATATATGCATGTGCACCCACAGAGATGGCAATGAAAGTTGCACTCAGTCTGTTGCAGTTGGCCTGACCTGAGGATACCTGATGGACCACATAGCAGTGGAGTAATTACAGGCCGCCAGGCATTATGATTGCTGACTTCTGACCCAAGTTTCTTAGCTTCATTCAGGTCGCATGGAATAAGATAAAGAATGATTCCAGGAAAGGAGCATAAAATAAAAGTGTATCAAAAGAAGATGGTTTGCTGAGTGACATTAGCCCTCTTCACCTATTAGGGCTCTGCTGCACATGAAGCATATGGAGCAGCAATTTCTATCTTCCATCCACATGTAGAAACACACATCTTTATCATGCTTCCTTCCATGGCTTCCACATTTTTGAGAACCCTGAAAAGCAGAGTTCCTGTTCACATGCAGTGTTTGCATGTGTGTTTTGTAGACGTACATTTCAACATGGTAGTGGTGGGGATGGAGCTTCTCACTGTAGGTTTCATTGTACATGTGAAGAAGAACCCTAATATAGGAGGGTCGCTGTTCTCATGGAAGAAACTGAGGAGCAAATTGTAGTTACACTGAATACAATTTTTTTTTCTGATTTATATCCTGCCTTTTTCCTACAAAGAGCTCAAGGCAGCTTACATCATTCTCCTCCTCCATCTTATCCCCACAACAACCCTGTGAGGTAGGTTGGGCTGAGAGTCTGTGACTGGCGCAAAGTCACCCAGTTGGCTCCATGGCTGAGCAAGGACTAGAACCCGGATCGTCTGAGTCCCAGTCCCATGCTCTTAACCACTACACCACACTGGCTCTAAAGAATTTACCCTAACATACCTGCTAAGGAAAACATGTTCTTTGTAGTTGGAATCATCTTGGAAGCAGTCTTTTTTGGGTAGGAGAAAGAGTTATCTTGCTATCTGAAGTTTTTATAGGTACTTGTATCAAAGATAATACCTGCCTGAACATTACACTTTGCTTGGCCTGAGGAATGCTGGGAATTGTAGTACTTTTTCTGTGTAGACATGTAATAGTCTGTGCCCTAAAAATTTCTTTTAATAGGATTGCTCAATAAATGGTTGTGATGTATTTTCTACTACTGGACTTTCACTTTATATCACTTCTCTCTGTGCAGTAAGTCAGAGCTATGATTCGCTAGACGTTTTTGCCCAGACAGATAAATTATGTCACCTCCAGTTAGGAGAAACATGTTCATTACAAGGAACTGACCATGTTCCACAAAGATACATGTGTAGTTTATAATTAGCTGAAGTTTTTACATGTAGAATTGCTGCATGGCATTGCAACAGTCCTTTCTTTGAAAAAAATATTTGGAGCTCTGTATTTATAGCAGTCCATTCTGTTAAGTTACTCAAGCTTTATTCAAGCTTTTTCAGTTAAATTTATGGTTTTCTTTAAATACGTATTTCTATCCTGCTTTTCTGCTTTGTTGTTGTTGTTAGTCCCAAAGTCGCGTCTGACTCATCGCGACCCCATGGACAACATTCCTCCAGGCCTTCCTGTCCTCCACCATCCCCCAGAGCCCACCTAAACTCACACCAACTGCTTCAGTGACTCCATCTAGCCACCTCATTCTCTGCCATCCCCTTCTTCTTTTGCCATCTATTGTTCCCAGCATTGCTTTTCTGCTTAACTATAAGCAAAGACAGCTGACAGACATACATGTGTGCATACACATACACACACGCTACAAAGACAGTGAACATTGAGTTTGAAGACTGTGAATAGTGAATTTGTTAAGATGCTTTCCTCCAAGTGAATTATTACTTGGTCTACCTTAACTTCAAGTCTCGTTCTGAATCTTTATTTCAAACTTGATTTTTTAATTGCATTGCATTACATTTATATCCTGTCTTTTTTTTCCTGTAAGGAACCCAAGGCAGTTTATGCAGTACTCCTCCATTTTGTCCTGAAGACTGAGGACAGTTATGAAAAGGAGATAATAAATTAATTCATTTAAGTTTTCCCCCATTCTGTAAAGTTGAAATCATTTCCCCAAGGTGTGTTCCTAGTAGGTGCTTTATGCTAAAATATGTGTAGAGGGGAGGGCTTGCCACATTACCTTTGCCTTCATCACCATACACCACTTTAATCAGCCCCCAAGAGCTTCTTAAAATGAAATTTGCCCAACGAGTTGAAAGCGGTTCCTCATCCCTGCTATAAGAGGATGATGCTTGCCATTTTGTATGTGAGATGTTGCAGCAGGTGGCTTGACAGCTGACATATGGAGGCATGCAATGTCAGCACATTTTAACTGAAGTGATGGAAGGGACACCCCCTTCCCCAGGCTGTGAGAAGAAAAGGACAGAGCCTTTCAAATAATCAGGGCCCCCAAAATTAAGAGAGGCCTAAACTTCTTTTTTGAAACCTAGCTTTTTTCTATGCTAGTGACTCAGTAACACTACTCATATCACTTGATGTGTAGTGTTCTGCTGGGAACTTCCAGTTCTCAAAAAACACTGATGAAAGTGAGAGTTTGCAACACCTGGAAGAAAGGCTAGAGTTCTGTGGCTTCAAAATTATGTGATGCAACCTAATTGCCTAAACAAGCTTCTCAAGAACCTGGATTAAGGGTGCAAACCACTGCCCTCTGTTCTTGATGTATACTAGCCTCTGAACTCTGACCACAGTGACCATTCCTCTGAGGTGGCCCATCCCTTTCTTCCCTGTTTCTCCTGCCCAGAAGCTGTCCCATGCGACCAGCCGGCCCCTCCTTCCTTGGAATCTGCACACTGAGCCTCTTGTATTTAAGCCAATAAACTCCCCAGCACTCCCTGCCCTGTCCTGCCGAGGAGCACAAAGGTGGTTGTACTCGTCAGCGGGAGCTGTGTGGGGCATGCTGGGGCAAGCTCTTGCGAGGCCGCCAGCCCAACCCGCTCTTTTCCTGAACCTCAAGTGGACAGCAGAATGGGCTGGCAGCCTTGGGAGAGCTTGCCACTATCATGCCCATGCCAACTATGTGATCAGGACTTGGGTGGGGAATGGGGGAAGTTCTGCTCAGCAAGAGGGCCACAGAATAAGGCCTTGGAGCGTATTGGTCCACCCCAATCTATATGAAGCAGCACAGAGAGAGAGCAAAGAAGTTAATGGAACCTTCTAGGCATCAGCTCCAGCTTCTTCCCTGCCCTATAGGTCCCATGGAAAGACATTTTCCAAGGCAAATTTACAACCAGAGAGGCAGCCAGCACCGTTCTTTCTCTGTCAGGTGTGGTGGGGCGGGCAGGAAGACTTGGCTGGAGTGCCAACCTATGGCACTTACAGATGATATCAGAAGGGCATAGAATTTTGTCTGTTTCTTTTTGTGGATGCTTCTGAGCCATACCAAATCTGGAAAACAAAAAATTTCAATAACATTTTAGCATTGCTGAAGAAAATACTTTTATAGTATGTGGAAAGTCAGTGGTTCAGGAAAACAAAATTAGTTCTAAAGCTCCTTCATCACTGTACATCTGATGTGGGAATGAGAATGTTGATCATAATTAAACAAAAGACCACTTACATGTTAAGCAGTATGCCCTTTCTGCCATCCAGGTCTCAAGGCCATTCACAAAAAAACTGTTTACAAGGTCTTGGAGCAATGAATATATTAGCATATTTCTCATTGTTACTTAAGTTAGTGAAGGAAAACTCAAACAAGGCTAGTTTACACAAGCTTATGCCATAATA